TCCTGCTTGGGCAGAGGGGTGGACTAGAAGACCTCCAAGGTCCCTTCTAGCTCATTCATTCATTCATCCATTTACGTTCATCTCTTCTTAAAAACCTCCAGTGATGGAGCAACCGCAACTTCTGGAGAGAAGCTCCACGGCCGAGACAAAATGGCCTCTTTGGGCTACTGCTGGGGAAGTTCTGGAGAACTTCCTGGAGGAGGAGATGGAAGAGCCCACTGCCTTTCTCGCGTCACCCCCACCTTTAAATTATTACCAAGGCTCCGTACAAAAATAAAAAGGGTTCTCATAAGATTTACAACCAATATTATTAAATAAATATTTGGAGTAGAGAGTTCCTTTCGTTTGGTTCATAGCTCGTCTTTGGGATTGATGTCCGGCTCGGTGGGACTGAAGGGTTGGTGGTCTAACAAGGCAATGATCTCGTCGGCCTGGATTCGCTCCTGAAGGACAAAGAGAAGGGAGAAGAGGTGAAGGCTGACCAAAAGGAGGAAGGACGGACCCCACCGTTCTCAAAAGGTCTGATCTGGCCTGGTAGACCATTTATCATTCGTTAAAATGAATTTATTTTTTTATTTTTCGCCATGGACTTACTCCAGTTTACAATAACAAAAAGGAAAAAAAAAAGAGAAAAGAACAACAGTGTAAAGAGGACAGAAGTAAAATAAAAGAGCAATAAAATAGAGGTATCTCTATTTGTCAAGGAAATCTCCGTTAGTTAGGTCAGAAGAGTCACGAACTGGCGGAGACATGGTACTAAGGTCAGCCAATAAAGGCTGAAATGGAAACTGAAACTGCAGCTCTGAGTGCTGTGCTGAGAACTGAAACGAGTCCGCTCTCAGCTCTGAAGCTGCTTGCAACTATGACCACGTGGGAAGAAACTACTATGGGTATTGTACGTTTTACTCATACGTTGTTATGTCTGTAAAGAAGTTAACGAATCCTGCTGAATCCGTCATCTGTGTGTGCTTTCTGGATTTGATTTCTGTAATAAACTCTAACAAGTTGTAAGGAAATTAGGATATTGTAAATTAGTTATAATTACATGTAGCATTGTGTGATGCAGACCGGGGATGCACACACACAAACACACACAAACACACACACACAAACACACACACCTTGCTATCTTGTGAACCTTTTAGCCTTCTGGATTTTTTTACTTTGCTTTTTATTTTTTACTCGGAGGTTTTAAACTTGTTCCTCCTTCCATTTCTAACCACCAAAGGTTTCTTTTTTTTTCAACAGGCAACTGGACTTTCTGTTTTGTTCCCTTTGAAGACATTTCGCTTCTCCTCCCAGAAGCTTCTTCCGTTCTGACTTGATGGTGAGGAAGGGAAGAATTGAGACTCCTTGCAGGTAGCTGGTTACTTGCATCCTTTTAGAGAGGGATTGAGGCCACTTGGAGATTTGTCTGCGTCCTCAGTTGTCTCAGAGGTGCTTTTCCAAGAGGCGGCTGGACTTTCTGGGTTTTGTACTTTGAAGACGTTTCTCTTCTCCTCCCAGAAGCTTCCTCCGCTCTGACTGGAGGGTGGAGAACGGAAGGATTGATACTCCTTGCAGGCAGCTGGTCATTTGCCTCCTTTTAGAGAGGGGTTGAGGCTGCTTGGAGGTTGATCTGTACCCTGTCAGAACTGGAGAAGCTTCTCGGATGAGGAGCGAAACGTCTTCAAAGAAAAAAAACCCCGCAGAAAGTCCAGGTGCCCCCGGGAAAAAAAAACCAAAAACAAACCACCATTGGGACAATCCTGGCCTGGATAATTGAGGATCCCCAGAGACAAATCTCTGCTTTTCATTCCTGTTCTTAACATTCCTGCTTTCCAGGGCGACAGGCGTTAATTAGGAATCTTAATTAGTCCTAATTCCTAATTATACAGTGGATGCCTCCTTTGATAATTGTCGCCTCCAACTGAGCTTCGGGGTGAAAAGGAAGTCAGCCAAATTTCTGCATCTTAGGGGCCCCAGCAGGGCAACGGGGGGGGGGGAGGCACCCCGTTTCCCCCCACACACACACACACACTGGTCCGCTCAGTGTGGGCTCTCAGCCACTTGGGGGCGCCCTTCTACAACTAATCTTCTCAGGTTGTAGTTAGGATACCGGGTGGGGAGGAGTCGGAGGCTGCAGCTGCGGATCAATCCCCTACAAGTGGAGGTTACACCTCTGAAGGAGTTTGGGGGGCAACAGAGAAGGAGTTAGACAAACAGATGCACCCCCCCCCCCCCCGGCACCTCGCCAGATGCCAAAAAACTCTGAGCTGAAAGGAAACCGGTTGGCCTGCAAAGGAAGTTCCTGGACTCGGGATTCTGCGCCAACATCAACCAATTCTGCTCTCCTCTTCCCCCTTCTTTCCTTCCTTCCCTCCCTCCCCTTTCTCTCCTTTCTTCTCTCCTTCCTTCCTTCTGTTCTTCCCTTCCTTTTTCCTTCCCTCCCTTCCTCTTCCTTCCTTCTCTCCCTCCCTCCTCCTTCTCCTTCCCTTCTCTTTCCTTTCCTTCTTTCTCTTTCCTTTTTCTTTCCTTTCCCCTTTCCTTTCCTCTCCTCCCTCCCCCTCCCCTCCTCTTCTTTTTCTTTCTTTCCTTTCCTTCCTTCCTTCCTTTTCTTTCTTCCTGCCTCCCTCCCTCCCTCCCTTTCCTTTTCTCTTCTTCCTTCCTTTCCTTTTCTTTCCCCCTTCCTTTTTCTTTCCTTTTCTCTCCTTCCTTCCTTCCTTCCTTCCTTCCTTCCCTCCTTCCTTTTTCTTTCCTTTTCTCTCCTTCCTTCCTTTCCTTTTCTCCTTCCTTCCTT